CTAAAGTCTTGGCAGTATATCACTTACGGGAGGAAACATAAGGGATCTTTAATGAATCCGCAAGCCCCTTTGCAAATGCCTTGGCCTGCCTTGAGCAACTTGTACCCCCAGAGTTTAAACAGTAGCTGCTATAAAGTCCTTAAGTTTCTCTACTCTTATACTACCTGTTGCAAAGGTGTCGTCTTCTCAACTAGTGGTATGGCCTTGTGCTAGTCACCGTCTGTAGAGAGTAAGGAAGAAGACCTTGATGGTGATATGCAAGTTCTGTTGCCAAGGCGACAAGGAGTAAAACATGTTTAAAGTCCAGAACTTCTGGGCAATGTTTGGAAGTGGCCTGTGGGTCCCTAATTCACATGGGGAGGAGGAGGTAGAACACCATTAGATTGGCAGGATTCTGTTATTATAGCCAATCTCAATAAAAGTATGTTTAGCCTTCCTGTGCAGTTGATTTCTTGGTCTGGTTTACCTAGTGGGACTGACACTATCAGTCTACCTGGGGCTCATAATTCCAAGCCATCAGGACCACCTGGGAATTATGGAACCCATATTCCGACCAATCCAGAATGTTATAGGAAACCAAAGCTAATATTAATAAAGAGAGAGACAAGAAGAGGCTTGATTCTTAGCGGCTAGCCTAGTAACGGGGGCATAAGGGAGGAAGAAACAACAGATTTAGGTGCTGCAATTGCTGCAGTGTCCTCTAGTATTTTTTTTTCATGTGGGTCTCAGAGATTTGAACTACAAACAGAATTCCATCTTACTAAGTAAAAGCATTGAGACGATCCACCAGCTTGCTTTGTCTCTTGCTCTCTTCAATACTATTTGAAAAAAGGCCTAATGAACTGGCAACAGCCTGAACGTGACGAATCTTACCTTTCTGCTTCTTCCTCTCTCTCACCCCAGATACTTGTTGGAGAACTGGCCGCCTTCTTCCTCCAACCACAAAGGCGTGAGGAGAAAACCATAATCTCGGGCGAGTGCTGTTATTTCAATCCACTTCTGCGCCGCATGATCCGTTTCCTGGGTAAGAGGAGGGTGCCCTTCCCACCCAGACCCCAGAACCTCCTGAGTCCATAGGCTCTGGGTTCCCCCTCATGCTTGTCCTTTTCCTTCCACAGGTGTCTATTCCTTCGGCCTCTTCACTACCACAATCTTTGCCAATGCAGGCCAAGTGGTGACCGGCAACCAGACCCCACATTTCCTCTCCGTGTGCCAACCAAACTACACTGTGCTGGGCTGCCAACCACCTCCAGGCACCATCTATGTCACAGACAAGGCAGCCTGCACTGGCAATCCTCTCCTGGTCACTGCAGCCTGCAAGGCCTTCCCCTCCAAGGACGCTGCCCTCAGTGCCTACGCAGTGGCCTACACTGTGGTACGGGGTGGCAGCCGGGTGGTAGGACAGACAGAAAGATGGAGGAAGGAGGGAGGAAGGGGTCAGATGTGAGCTTCTCCCAGAAATCTAGCACCCAGTTCCCTTCCCTTCCCCTGCCCTGCCCCGACCCCCATTTGTAGCAGACTGGGTGATAGAAACTGGGTTTGCCAACACACACATAGACACAGAAGGGGTCAGGATTTGGGAATGAGTTGCTTCATTGAGAAGTCTGGAGTGCCCTCTGGTGGGCACAGAACTAAAATGTGAAAGAAACGTTTTCTCCCAGGACAAGTTAGGGGAAGTTATCTTTTGTGACAAAGCACTGCCTGCCGTGAGCAAAAATTGTCCTTGACATGGGCACCCCAGGCAAAAGTATCAGCTTTGACTTCACTGCTGCCATTTCTCATTGGAAGGCAGTAAAGCCAAACAGGTGTCCTGTGTTACACTGGGGGAAACCTAGCCTCCCCTCTTTCACAGCCAGCCAAGTCCCTCTGCTTCTCTGACACCGTCTGGGTGCCGTCAGTGCGGCATGCCATTGACGGAACAAGGATTTTCAGAATCTGAAATGCTGGACTAATGCAATAAATGCATCACCCACAACAATAACCAAGAATGGTTGGCATGTGCCACTGGAGGTTACTTGAAAAAAATAGACATTGTAGCTAAATAATGATTTGATGCTATGAAATGCAATAGTTCTAAAAAGCAAGATACACAACACTTGTTTAGTAGTGTGTTAGATGCAGTGTTTAGACATTACATCTGTATCTATAGTCAAGGATCAGTAGAGCATCTGCCAGTCTATTTTAAGCAACTGATGCATGTGGCAGAACTGGCACTAAGCCCCCCCCCCCCCCCT